GTTGTGTGACAATTCTGCTTATAGTGTTGTTGGCATGGGTCTTTAAAGTTTGATACTGGTTTTGTGCATACTTTAAAAAAAAGTTAGATATATCCCTGAATTGTCTAGAAATTTAATTTCAGTAGAAAAACTTGAGAAAACTGATTTCATTTTTACACGGCACTGGGCCTAATTTTCCGTTTGATTAATACCCTTCTAATCTAATTAAATCTTTCAAACAAGTAATAAATACGTCCTAAACTACTAACTAAAACCCCAAATCAAAAGGAAGGAAGAAAAACGGAGGTCTTCCCTCCGCGATCTGTGACGATCGGGGAAAGAACACCCACTTCACTCCGAGAATATCCTTAAAAAAGATGTCGATGCAGAGTGGCAGCCACGACGGGGAAATGACCTGTATTTTCAGTGCGATGAGAAATACACCATAGGTCATCAATGTAAGAATCGTGAGCCGAAGGTAATGTTGGTACATGAAGATGAACATACTGACAAGGAAGAGCGTGATTTGCCGACATAGGAATAACTAGTAGATGTTGCAAAAAGGTTGGAGCTCTCATTAAATTTGGTAGTAGCTTTAAGAACGTCTGGAACTATGAAGATTAAAGGTTCAACGGCACAACAAGAGGTAACGATCCTAATTGATTGCAGGGCAACCAACAATTTTATTTCATTGGAGCTAGTCAAGAAGTTGGATCTGCCAACTGCGACGACTACAAATTATTGAGTTATCATAGGGTCTTGTGAAGTGGTAAAAGGAAAGGGGATTTTCAAGGGAGTCGTGGTGGAGATGCAGGGGCTAACAATAGTAGAGTACTTCCTACCCAAAGTTGGGCAACTCGGATATGGTGTTGGGAATGCAATGGTTAGGTAGTGTAGGCAGTATGGAAGTCAATTGGAAACTCCTTACTATGCGGTTACGAATTGGAGATTCAGTCATGAGTCTGAAAGGAGATCTCGAGCCGAAGAAAGAGGGATTCTAAAAATGATTACTACTTTTTAATTTTGTCTTTTGCAGCAGTAAATCTGGAATTTTATAATGAAGATTGCATAAATGCAGTGCTGTGAATTGAAACAAAGATTACAAATTAATTTTTTGTTGGATTCTTTCTTTTAACGGTTGGTCAGTCCCAATCATATACTATACCATTTAAATTAAGTTATACTCTTAACTAAAAAGAACGGGAAAAAAGCTATTGGGTGATGGCCAAGGTTGGTGTCAAAATGTTTTAATTATAGTTGGTGTTCAATATTATTTGGTTGTTGTCACTTTTTTGAATATTTATTACTTTTTTGAATGTTTATCACTTAATTGAATAGCTTTCAAATCCAAAATATGTTAGTTAATAGAAGTGAAAGATAATCACTAGCATATAACATGTAAACGAAAATCAACCATCCATTTGACCTATTTTAAGGTTATGATTAGTGTTGAATATTACTTGTTACTTTTTTGAGTGTTTGTCAATTTTTTTGTCACTTTTTTTAAATTTATTACTTTTTTGAGTGTTTATCACTTTTTTATTATTTGTCACTTTTTTAATATGTATAGTTTCTTTTTAATATGTGCCAGTTTTTCAAATTTGTCACTTTTTAAAAATTTATCATTTTTTTTAATGTTTATCATGTTTTTAAGTCATCTTCTTGATTTCTATCACTTTTTTATAAAGTTGCTCGTCAATTTTATAAAAGTGACACTGTATCACGTTTTTAAATTTTGTCAATTTTTTAGTTTTTTGTCACCTTTNTTTAAGTTTTTGTCATTTTTTAAGAAGATAAGAAAAAATGAAATAATATGTTATATTTTTCTAACATAATCAGTATGTGGATGGGTCTGGATGTGCTGATTATTTTAAGAACTTGATCACTGGTGTTGCACAAATGGATGATGTTATTTTGATATTTGTCATTTTTTTTGAGTTTGTGTCACTTTTTTGAGTTTGGTCACTTTTCGAGAGTATGAGTGTCAATTTTTTTTTTTTTTTTAAAGTTTTGTCACTTTTTTTGAATTTGTGTCAGTTTTTTTAAAAAAGTAAAAAAGTGACAATTTTTATAAAAAAAAGTGACATTGTGTCACTTTTTCATTTTACACAGTATTTTTTACTTCCTAAAAACATTTCATAT